ACAGATCTTCACATTTATTTTTTAAAAATTTAATATTTCAGAGGTTAATAAAATAGATATGTACAAATATATTTTAGCATTTTTAATTGTAGTTGTTCTTGAACCACAACAACTTGCGAAAAACTATCTAGTTATCTTTATTTTACAACATGCCTTTTTCTTATTAGCAGGCCTATTTATGATATAAACAATAACTAATAAAAAAAAATTTATAGTTTAGTGATATTTGATATTAAATGGTTACTTTTGCTAAATTGGATATGATTTATAATTTTTTTTATTTTGTATATATATATGTATTATTATTTTAAATCAAAGGAATAATATGATGCTTTATATTTTGTAGATATAGATTATATGATGGCATTATGTGATACTATTGTTATTTATTTTCTGTTTATATCCTAGTCTTACGCATCGCAAGAAGAATTAAAATCATATTATTATTAGTTTTTATTGTACCACTAATTACTATTCATAAATTCTTAAAATCAATAGATTAGTTACAAACATTAAGTTATAATCATGTAAATTTAAGAAATGTTAAATTGACTTTTTGACTTTCTCAACAAGACTCTTAAGTCTATATGTAAGCTTTACTTTGGTAGAAATGATGAAAATGAATAAAGATGAAATTTTAATCCAATTATTAATATTAATAACCACTTTCATACATTGTAACATAATCATTAGATTAACAAGTTTATATCTTTACTCTTTTCAATCCCTCCTACCATATAAAGCATTCCTTTTCTTTTTTACCTATTTCAAAATCTCTTCATATCATGCAATTCTATTTTATATCTTTGTGATTGGTTTCAATGTATTTTACTTAATCATTTGGGTTGTCACTCAAGTAACCATCTTTAGAAAGCTAAAAATTATTGTCGAGGTTTATTTTTTAAAATATATATTCTTGTCTTTATAAGAGAAATCTTAAATCTTATGTTTTGTCAAAATTTTATGATAATTCGTTATTAATTTATGCTATAGTGTTATTTAAAATGATTTGTCCTAACCATTTATGAAATATTCTTGTTTTACAAAGCTTGACACTTTCATTTGTGAGAATTTATTATGAAAATTAAATTAATAGATTTATAGATTTATGAATCCATAAATTTTATGATTTTATTATATTAATAAATATAATAGAATACCTCAAATGAAAAAAAAAGGTACAAGTATGATTAACACACTCAAAACCAAATATCAAGATCCATCACTAGATCAAAACTTCATGCATGTCAACATTCATGGATTCACTTTTTCATTTTTTTGATAATTGTCTATTGTTAAGTTGTGAATTTATATAGGCTTACATGATCACATCTACTAATTATGTGTTTTTCCATTGCAAAAGCCTTACAACTGAGTGGTAGGAGGAAATGATTGTCTTAAAAGGTAAAACTAAAACATTTATTTGTATTAATTGTTAGTTTATAATTGCAAGTGGAAATTTATTATATCTTTAATTTGTATTGTTTTCTATTCTGGAACCTTATATAATTTATGATAAGGATAATAAGGCTTAATCTGATTATTCTTTAGTATAAAAAATTGCAGCTTGAAATAGAGAAAGAGATTGTAAGTATTGGAATTCGAATGTTAAATTTATTAGATTTCATCTCTTAAAGGTAACTGTATAAACTGACCTAGTTAAACTCTGAGTTTGTTTAATTTGATTATTTGTTATATTAATCTTGGTGTTCCAATTTGTGAGTTATGTTTTTGTTAGAATGATTTTCAAAATATGAAAATCATAAACAAAGAGAAATGATATTAAGCTATAAAATAGTTTAAGGAAAGGTTTCAAAATCAATAGGTTTGGTTCAATATATGAAAGAATCAAAGTAAGAAGGCTACACAAGTAAGCAACCGACTGCTATGCACTTAGGAGTCGACTATCTTAGATAGAAGTGTCAAATAGGTTGTGTTGGATTAGCACAATCCATTTGACTATTAACCAATGTGTTAATGGATCATGCCAGCCCAACATTATTTTTTAACGTACCATGCTAACACTACCCATGAAGGCTAAGGATAAAGTCTAGCACGGCACATGGCTCGTAACCTTCATGGGTTGTGTCATGCTTGGCACGACACTATTTTTCATGTTCAATTGGATCAAGGTCAACCCACTAATGGTTTTTTAAATTTTTAATTATTTTTTTAAAAAAATCTATTATTAAAAATAATATGCGAAGATACATAAAAGTAAAATGAAATAAAAATGACATATAATTTACATGGTCAACAAAATATTTACATCTACAAAGAGGGATAATAAAATCCACTAAATAAAAAATTAAAATTACAATCCTAATATTTCAAAAAATACACAGACATACATATAAAAGATACTATAAAACACAAGATTATTATTCTATTTTTCATTCTCATCATCTAATTATTCACTTATAAAATGTATTGTCTTGTGCATTTATTTTATTCCTTTCATTCTATAGTAATTTACTTTATTAATTGAATTTGTACTTAACTTATAATTTTATTTTATTTTTGTCATTTTATTTTTGCTAATCACTAGTTAAATAAAATTTATCTATCAATAATTTAAATATTTAATAAGTAATTTTAATATAGTTTTATTTTATAAATTACCAATAAAATATCATAAGTATAATTTCGTTGTAATATCAAAACAATATAAATACACTCAAAAGCTAGGAGCCCACTTAATAATTATGGATCAAAATGTTATGACTGGACTTGTGTGTGATGCCATGCTATCCCATGTGTCACATGTTAGCGTTGACCTTTAAGGGGTTGTGTTGTGCCGATTCATGGACTTAAAATCTTTTAGCTTAGCACGATATACATATATATATCGTGCTTAACCCAGTTTGATAGTGTCAAATCATGTTGTATCATGGGCCGCCCAACCCATTTGACACCTTTAATCTTAGACTTTCAAGAGGAGCATTCGATTGCCATTGGCAAATAAGTCAACTATATTACAAACAGAAATTTATGAAAGTCTATACAATTAACAGTCGACTACCAACATAGAGCAATCAACTGCCATAGCTGAAAAATAGGCCAGTGGATTCATAACCCTAAGGGAATCAACTGTTATTGTTCAAAAGTCTTTTGAAAAATGTAATTGGCCAAGGTAGTTGATTGCTCTTGAAAAGAAGTTAGTTGTCTTGTAAGTGAAATCATTTTAGAAATTGATAGAAGTCAAGTGTTTTAAAAAGCAATCAATTGGTCAAAGTTATAAAAATATTTTGAAAGTTGAAAGGAGTCGACTACCCTGTAAATATCATTATGAAAATTAAAATACAAAAAAACAATCGACTGCTTTTATGGTGATGTCAATTGTTTTTATTGAAAAGTGACAATTTTCATAAATGTGAAAAATGATTTCTCTTGGTATGAAAAGACAAATCATTTGATTGAACCAATTCATCTTTGATTATTCAAAAATGTGTCTTTTTATTAAAAGAAGTAACTCTTTAATTAAGTAATTTTTAATTAAAACAACACAATTAAAGAGTTACAATCTTAGAATTCAATCTCTATAAATAAAAATATTATAAGTCAGTTAACACATTCAAAAATTCAAATGTCATTCTTTCTTTCTCTCATCCTTTCTCAATAGAAAGCTTATTTCTTTAATATTGTTTTATTATAAAAAAACCTTATTAAAAACAAGGTTTTTCATCTCTCATCAATGAACTTTTAATGATTTGATTTCATTAGTGCAAGGTGATTCAAACAAGATTTCATTATATTTTGAGTGCTTTTTGTTTCAACCTCTTTTGCATACCGTTTTTAATAAGAACGAAATAAACCTTAGGGATAATAACATTAGCAGCACACTTTGAAGCCATTTTTATTCAAATTGAAATTTTCATTTTGTTCTACCCAAATACAAAAATAAAGCCTACAAAAATATTTGGAGTTGATCTACAAGTACACATGGTTTTGTATTGTCTTAAGCCTTTTATAAACAAACGTTTTTCGCTGGATGGAATTAAAGAGGTGAGAGACAAGGGTGTCTAAATTGGAAACAGATTTGATATAGCTCTAGGCACTGCCAGAGGCCTTACATATCTGCACGAAGAATTTCATGCATGCATATAGTCATCGTGATATAATATAAGCTCGCATAATTAATTGTTTGTATATAGCATGCAATGGATAAAATGTAATTGATTATGAAAACAACTTCCCATGCAATCCTGTATGCGTCCTTAATGCTTATAAATAAATATATTTTCTTCTACCCCAAAATATTACCAACATGGTACCAATTGCTCAAGAATCACTTTCACCATAGATATGGAGCATTAGTCAATGTTTCAACAACTGTCCAAGTAACTACATTAACCAATTGGAATTAAAAGAGTAAGAGAAACAAAAGAGGAAATACGCCAGCATATTTGGAATTTTCACTTGATTTCATAACTGAAGCAGTTGCATATTGGTCTGAACTCTTAAGTTGGCTTGGTCTATTTCAAAATGAGAGCTACAGATCCTATAAGATCGAACTGTTTTTTCGAATGGTGAGGGGGAAAAAAAAAAGAAAAGAACCAGACATGGTTTATATCACAAAAATGATCCACCATTCCTGTTATATGATGACCTCAGAAGGGTCAGAAAGTGAATACGAACTCAATCCCTGTACCCATCTAGTGATATAATGCTTCTCTTTGTAATACCAAAACAAAACAAGAGCCATATAATTACAGCATTGAGGACAAAACTATCGATACAAATTGTAATTTACAACTCAACATTACTGCCTGTAAAGAATATTAGAGCACAAAAGCTAGCTACTCAGCCGCGCCATATAAATACTACACAATCTCAATAACAGGGTTTATTACTGAGATGCAGAGTGAGTAAACCACGTACCCTTACTTGTTAAAGAATAATCCTCTCTTCTTCCCTTTCCTTTTCTCACCAGCCTGCAAAAGTAAATAAGACAAATCTGTTGTTAAAACAAGGCAACAATTACAAAATTTTAACCAATAAAGCCTATCAAAAACACCAATTTGGTCCTACAGCAGTGCATACAAATGCTAAAAAAATGAGCTAATCGGTTTTCTTTTTTATTGTTATTCAATTGAAAGCTAATAAACATTCAAGAGAGTGTAAAAGTAATAGGTCCCTATCTTTAACCAAAACCTAACTTATGACCCATGTGTGAAAACACAAGGAAAAACCACCCGTTCCTCTCTGAGTTGTGTATCAGATAGGTCTAAATCAAATAAGGGTGAAACTCAAATATGATTATAGATGCCAAAATCTCAGATTCATGCAGGAGACCTAAAGATATTAACATAGTAACTTGGTTTAGATATATTACAAAACCATACCACAATTGCAAAAAAGAACCCCATCATTTAAAAAAGTTAAATAACAACAACAAAACCAAAAATAAATGAAATTGGAAAATTTTAAGGAAGTTAATGCCATTAGAGAGATAGTGCAAGGTTTGAAATCTTGTACAACTACTTTGGGTGCTAAAAAGACAGATTTTAGTTGTTTGGTCAGAGCCTCATACAACTACTTTGGGAGTTAAAATCAATAATAAATAAGATTTTAGCTGTTACAGGTCAAATTTGAGCAAAAGAAAAAGATGAAAAAGGGAAAGCATCATCCTTGGACTGAAAAAACCGATAATACATGGTCCAAATCAATGCAATTTCGCAGCCATGGATTTGAGATGCTTTAAATCCTCAATTTCAGAGTAGAATGACAGTCAACCAATCCAGAGAGACATAGGGTATATAACCAAGGCAATAACCAAGAAATTTAGTAAGTAATGTATGCAACTGAAGCAGAGAATAAGAAATTCTACTCGCAGAAGTTTTGAGAAAACTGGGAAAATCATCCTTGGATCCCCAATTAACTATCAATATTATTCTGTCTGTAAATATGAGAGAGATATCAGAAGCTTTTATTTAAAATTTAAACATCAAAATAGAAGAGAGTACATAAACATTTAGGATATTCACACCTGCAGGCCAGAAAGTAGATTTACTTATGCAGAAAAACAAATAGTTAGAAGCTCTTAATATGTTTTAGATTTTTATGTGGGCATCTGCGTATAAGCATAAGAAAGTCACATGCCTCTAGTCATTCCCAGAGGAAAAACAAAGGAAAAAAGTTAAGAGTAATACCCGTATGATAAATAATCTCAAGGTGAGCACAATTGTATCTCTTGAACTGCACAAATGAAATGCAAATATAAACAACCTAGACTGCACACCCAATGGGTGAAAAATAAATGCAATATAATTTAATTAAAATATAGATGAAAAAACTATGAAAAATAAAATAATTTGTCGTAATTATTAGAATATTCTATTTAAAGAGATAAAAGGGACAAAAGTATATATGTATAACATGTATGTTGTTTAGGTAAGAGAGAGGGAATAAATGAAGTTTAGATTAAAAAAGACCAAAGTCTTGAGTTTTTAATTGAAAAGACATCAAGTTGGCCTGCACTAGAATTGGCAATACATATTAGAATAGAAGCTGAATCACAGCAGAAAAAAATTCCAGCTCAGAAACAATGTCACGTATGGTTGACAAGGCACTTTCAGATCAGTAATCAGCTCCGGTTTATTCCATAACCTTGCAGGAAGGATCTGATTTATTTCTTTTAAACTTATAAAAAGCCTTTTTTTAAGCCATCACCAAGTCAGCATTACCTAGCAATAATATTTCAACCACAAAATCCCAATTGCATTTCACAAGATACTTTTCACAGCCCAATAAATATTCTCCATATATGATTTTTCTTGATCAGCTAACCAATGCAAATCTTCTGTTACAATAATCACACCACAAACTGTTGCATACTTTAGCCCCTCGATAACCATCCCCAAAGCCCACAAGGAAGCCTATCCACTGCTGTCCTACCTTTCAAATTTCCGTTTCAGTTTCACTTTCTTCCACTATGATCTTTCCTCCCCTCACCCCTTCAACTCTCTCATCATCTATTCTTCTTCACTGACTACATAAGAGCTGCAGACTGCCAAGGATTAATCCACAATACAGCTAGTTAATAAAGCAGTGCCATGATCACCAATTTTGTTACAAACCAAAGTTTCTTCTTTTTTCTTTTGGTTTTTTTTTTTTTTTCTTGTGATAACTAGATAGAAATGAAAGACAGCTTCTTCACAAATGTCAAATAATTACATACACAATTATGCATAGAGATAGATGGAATAAGTAATCATTAATCAATTGCAGTGATCATTTGGTATCATTCTGTATGCATCCAGAGGAAAAAGTTGAGGGTTTTACTCAGTGAACTCAGAATGCAGAATACCAGTAAGAGAGAAATGGTAGACTTGAGTGCAGCTAAAATAGGGGATTCTGTAAAATCTGAAGGTTTGATTTTGCGCGGAGCGCACAGACACAGAAAGGAGGTGGGAGGGAGAGAGACAGAGAACCTGCCAGAATTGGAGAATAACCTCCATTTTTAATTCTTTATATTTTGAAGCAGAAGAGGAAAGAAGAGTCGAAGACTGGGTTAATGTTACATAACATTGAGCCTATCACTGCCATCTGAGCCTCTTATTGATATTGTATATCAGAAGTTAACCTAAGTGAGTGCGAGTTGATATACAAATATCTTCCAGATTTATTAAAGTTGTTGGTCATTGATGCAACCCTCCAAATTGAAATGGGAAAATATCAACAGTACAATTAGTAATTGAGATTTAGTACCAAGGAAACAGTATGGAGGCTCATGGGGCTTTGGGCTGCACAAAGGGAGGTACCCCACCCCCTTGCCCCCCTTTCCTGAGCAAAGCCTTCCAGGATGAAACATCAGGTTCTAAACAGGTGTCCCCTTGGGACGAAATGATGCACTTTGCCTGTACTTAGTAGAACAATGTTAATTTTGTAAACTTTGGGTATGTGTTTCTCAAATCTACCATGCTTAATGGATTTGGAGCATTCTGTTATTTTCCTAATTAGCAATTGAGTATCTATTAACAAGAGAAACTTTAAACTTACCAGCTAACATCTGGAAAGCTGCTGTCTGCTCGTAAGAGACGCAGAACACCATTTGGTCCAATAATCATAAACTCTGTAGGCTCTCCAAACGTTATTTTAATCTAGAGAAAACAAATAATAATAAATACCAATAGTGACCGACATAAATATATGAAAACGAAAATTTGAGAGTACTGGCCATCAATAATGCCTCAGGAGAAAATATAACATATCAAAAGCAGCCAAGATCAGTAAACTCAATTCAATTATTTCCATCAAAAAGCTATACTTGGATAAAAATATATTCAGGCAATTTTTAACAGCACAATAGGATCACTGTTTCTAATGGACAAGAAATGCAGAATATAATGTGGTACATCATAAAGAGAATATTAATTATTAGGTAAATTCCATCCAAGTCCTTAAGTATTTAGCATAATTCAACTCAAGTCCCTTATTTGAAAAATAAACACTTTGCTCGAAACTTTTCAATTAATAGGACAAGAAAGTCCTTCTATCAATTATCTCTTAATCATTCCGTTAATAGTCTCCGTGGGAAAACACTTATTTATAGCTGGTTGTAATATTGTAATCCGTATATTTATATTTGTATCTCTAGAATTAAGTATTTGTATCCTTAGAATTCAGGACAAAAAATTAGGATAGACAATCCCTCAATTATAGGATTAGTTTTTAAGAAGATTTAGTTTCCTAGATTAACCCCTAGTTAGTTGTATATAAATCTAAGGTTCTTGTATAATTCTTTATAAGTAGTTTTTCAATATACGTTCAGTTTTTTCTCTTAGTTTTCCACACAGTTTCCTTTCTTAGTTTTTTCACATGGTATTAGAGCTTTAGGCTCTTCTTGGGAAGCAAAATTTTCAGCCTTCATTGCCGACTTCTATTTTAGGCCTTCATTGCCGAACCCTGTTTAGACCTTCATTGTGGAACCTTATTAAGGCCTTTATAGCCATTCTATATTTCCCTTCTTTAGCCTTCATTGCTAAGAGTCATTTCTGGTTATATCTTACGATTTGTTTCAATTCAAAGAAAGATATCACTACCACCCAATTTAAGGAAATGTCAATTGAGAAAATCACCGGAGTACTACAGATGTCTCAGAAACAAGGAGAGTTCGATAGAGAAGAGATTGAAAAGCTGAAAAACCTATTAAAAACCCTTAAAAAGCCTACTATGGTATGTTCCTTGGGTAAGGTCTCTAGTTTAGGTAAAGCTTTTGGTTCTCATGGATTAAATGTCATGGTTAAACCTATTACGAGTTCTTGGATCATTAACTCAGGGGCTACAAACCATATGACATATTCCTCATAGAAGTTTAGTATATATTCCATGTGTCCTGGTAATAAGAAAATTGTTGTTGCAGATAGTTCACTTACTACAGTGGTAGGATTAGGAGATTTGAAGTTAATCCCTCATTTGTTCTCAAAAATGTTCTTCATGTTCTTGGATTGTCTACTAATCTGATATCTATATAAAAACTTACCACAGATATGAATTGCAATGTGACTTTTTATCCCTCTTATTGTGAATTTCAGGACCGAAGTTCGGAGAAGAGGATTGGACTTGCCAAGGAGAAGGATGTACTATGCTATCTTGAGACATCAAATAACACAAGTAATATCAAGAATAGTTTACCTTTGTCATTTCTTTTTGAAAAATCTTCCAATAAAGACAAAATTTGACTTTATCATTTACATCTTGGACATCCTTCTTTTGAAACTTTAAGAAACATGTTTCCTTCTTTGTTCAAAGGATTAAGTGTCGAAGATTTTCATTGTGATGTTTGTGAACTTGCAAAGCACAGACGTGTCTTTTCCAATTAATAACAAAAGAAGTTCTACTCCCTTTTACTTTATTCACAGTGACATTTGAGGTCCCTCTACAATTCCTAATATTTCTGATGCAAGATGGTTTGTTTCATTCATAGATGATTGTACCAGGGTCTCTTGATTTTTTTACTTAAATCCAAATCAAATGATCATATGTGAATAGTGTGTTTTTAAACTTTCAAAACATGATCCAAAATCAATTTGGAGTGAGAATCAAGAGATTTAGGTCTGATAATACAAAAGACTATTTCAACCGGAGTCTATCCACCTATTTTCAAAATGAGGGGATTATCCATGAGTCATCGTATTAATACTCCACAACAGAATGGAGTGGCAGAGAGAAAAAACAATCGTTTACTAGCCACAACCCAAGCCTTCCTTTTCAAGCAAATGTACTCAAATCTTACTGGGGAGAAACTGTTTTCACTGCCACACACATTATAAATAGCTTACCTTCAAGGGTTTTGGGGTTTAAAACTCCTATGGAACTACTCTCATAATTCTATCCCAACCTTAATACCACAAACAACCTCACACCTTAGGATATTTGGTTGTACATCATTTGTTCATGTTCACAGTCATAATAGGGGAAAGTTAGATCCAAGAACGATTAAGTGTATCTTTGTGGGGTATTCATCAACTCAGAAAGGGTATAAGTGCTATCATCCTCCTACCAAAAAATTATGTCTGTAGATGTCACTTTTGAAGAAAGTAGACCATTTTTTACTCAACCTTATCTTCAAGGGGAGACTTCATTCATGGAAGATAAGGAGAAAGAGTTCTTTTTGCTTGATTTGTCCTCTCTTCAACATTTTCACCCATTAATTCTTCTAAGTCAAAACCTGTTTCTGCTGAGCCAAAGTCAAACATTGAATTTGAGTCTAAACCCATTCCAAATACAGAAGATGTGACAAAGGATAATATTGTTCTTGATTCTATGAAGGAATTACAGGTGTACTCAAAAAGGAAAGTTCCAGATCTTGAACCAATGCCAATCCAAGAACCTGATCCTAACTGTGGAAATGAGGTAACTACAATTTTTGACTCTATTTCTCAAAATGAACATGAATCTCCTAAAACTATAACTAGTGATTATGATCTGCCTATTGCCATTAGGAAAGAAACCATAAAATGTACTAAGCATCCACTATACCCAATCTTTAATTTTGTGTCATTTAAAAAATTCTCACCATTCCACAAAAAATTTTTTGTGAGCCTAAACACTATTTCTGTTCCAACTACATTATCCAAGACATTATCCAGTGAGAAATGGAGGCAAGCCATGAAAATAGAAATGAAGGCTTAGAGAAAAATAAGACATGGGAACTGGTAAAGTTGCCTAAAGGAAAAAATCCAATGGGGTGTAAATGGGTTTTCACTATAAAAAACAAGGCGGATGGTACTGTTGAAAGGTATGAAGCCAGGTTAGTGGCTAAGGGTTACACTCAAACCTATAGAGTGGATTATAAAGAAACCTTTGCTCCAGTTGCCAAGTTGAATACAATTAAGATTTTGTTATCATTGGCTGCAAATTACAATTGGCAGCTTCAACAATTTGATGTAAAGAATGCTTTTCTACATGGTGATTTGGAAGAAGAGATATTTATGAAGGTTCCACCGGGATTTGGAGGTCATCTAGAAGCAAACAAAGTATGCAAGCTGAAAAAGGCTTTATATGGCCTTAAACAATCTCCTATGGCTTGGTTCGGGAGATTTGCCAAAGTGATACTAGCAATGAGATATAATCAGAATCAAGGAGATCACACATTGTTTATCAAGCACTCTGATTCAAGGAGAGCCACATTTCTATTAATGTATGTTGATAATATAATTGTAACTGGAGATGATGAAAAAGAGAGAGAATCTCTAAAACAGTGTTTGGCTAGAGAATTTGAAATAAAAGAGCTAGGAAAATTGAAGTACTTTCTAGGAATTGAAGTAGCTCACTCACCGCATGGTATTTTCATCTCACAATAGAAATAAGTGATGGATCTTTTAAAGGAAACTGGGAAGCTCGCATGTAAACCTGCAAATACTCCTATAGATCCTAATCATAAAATTGAAAAAGCTAATAAATATGCTTCTGTAGATAGAGAGATGTACAAAAGATTAGTTGGAAAACTCATTTATCTCTAGCATACTAGACCTAATATGGCATATGCTGTGAGTGTGATAAGTCAATTTATGCATAGTCCTAAAGAAGTGCACCTACAAGCTGTCTACTATATATTGCATTATTTGAAGGCCAATCTTAGGAGAGATCTTATTCAAAAGAAATTTGGGACTAGTTCTAAAAGCATATACAAATGCTGATTATGCAGGTTCAATAATTGATAGAAGATCCACCTCAGGCTACTGCACTTTCTTAGGTGGTAATCTTGTGACTTAGAGGAGTAAAAGCCAAAATGTGGTGGCAAAATCAAGTGCTGAAGCAGAGTTTAGAGTAATAGCTCAAGGAATTTGTGAACTACTATGGTTAAAGATTATCCTAGAAGACTTGAAGATCAATTGGGGTGAACCAATGAGACTCTACTATGATAACAAGTCTACAATAAGCATTGCACATAATCCTGTGCAATATGATAGAACAAAACACATTGAAATAGACCGGCATTTCATAAAAGAGAAACTAGATAGTGGGTTGATTTGCATACCTTATGTATCAACCAAGGGTCAACTTGCAAATGTGTTGACTAAAACTCTCAGTAGTGCAACATTTCAAGAAATTATTTCCAAGCTAGGAATGGAAAACACTTATTCACCAGCTTGAGGGGGAGTGTGGGAAAACACTTATTTACAGCTAGTTGTAATATTGTAATCTGTATATTTATATTTGTATCTCTAGAATTAAGTATTTGTATCCCTCGAATTCAGGACAAAAAATTAGGATAGATAATCCCTCAATTATAGGATCAGTTTTTAAAAAGATTTAGTTTCCTAGTTTAACCCCTTGTTAGTTGTACATAAATCTAAGGTTTTTGTATAATTCTTTATGAGCAATTTTTCAATATACATTCAGTTTTTTCTCTTGGTTTTTCACACAGTTTAATTTCTTAGTTTTTCCAGTCTCATTAAAATACCTTTTTACCCTTGAAAAACTAATATCCCAAAATACTCACATAAGGTAATAATTTATAATAACAATTTTTTTACTTTTTTTAAAATATATAAAATATATTAATAATATATAAAAAAGATTTTTAGATGCAATATATAAAACAAAATTTACAATTATAGATATGCTAATATGTAAATATATATAATACAATGAATGTATTGAACATGTAACAATTTTTCGACATGGAACAAATTTTTAAAAAAAATGAACATTTATAATAAGAAAAAAAATGTTTGGTTAAAAAAAAAGAAAAAAAGTTTGGTTAAATTGTTACATGCTTGATATATTCATTTTGTTTTACATATGTTTATGTATTAGCATATTTATAATTATAAGTTCTATTTTTATATGTTGCATTTAAAAAATCTTTTTATATTATTAATATATTTTATATATCTTGGGAAAAAATAAAAATAATTTATTATTATAAAATATTACATTATGTGAGTATTAGAAGATATAGATTTTTTAGGGGTAAAATGGTCTTTTAATGAGATTATTAACGGAATAATTACGAAATAATTGATAAAAGGATCTCCTTGTCCTATTAATTGAAAAGTTTTTGGTAGAGAGTCCATTTTTCAAACTAATGAACTTAAGTTGAATTACGCTTAAAACTTAAGAACTTGAATGATATTTGCCCTAATCATTACTAAGTTCTGAAGATTTATCTCTAAGTCTATTTTTAGCTTAGCATAAACCTAGATCCCTATCATTATCATAAAAGAATAAGATTTGCGGTGAGATTTGGTTACCTACAAGAAGCCAACTTTATGGTGCTAGATTCATTTATGACAAATATCTAAAAAACTTGTTTAAGTCAGGTTAGCTTTACTTTCAACATAATTAATTAAGAATAGGCACCAGGGAAAGCCTCTCATTTGTTTCATGAAGTGGAAAAAAGAAAAGTTATATTTTGAAACAATATAAAATTAGGTATTGAGGTCTATGCTAATGTGCATTGCAATCTTAATGAATTGTTAATGTCCATGGTGCTCAGTGCAACTCCTATTCTCTCCAGCAAAGGAGGAAAGTCTCTGAAAGTTCTCTGCATCATGAACTTTGTGCATCTAAATTGATTGGAGTTATTATTGGAATAAAAGGATTATAGAGAATAAATCTTGTGTAAAATAGAGCCACTGGATGTGAATCTTAATGCTATGAAGCTTAGGGATGGGCAACGAGTAGGATGGAGCCTTGACTTTCTATTATATTAGTAAAGCGTGCCATATATATTGAGGGAAGGGAAAAGGGGTCTCTTTCCTCGCCCGATTGTAGAGGTCGATCCCCTATCACCTTCGGTGCCCCCTTGTGGTCCTTCTCTTTAGCTTTTCCTCGGCCTTTAGAGCTAGTTGATAGGCCACTTTCCACATCTGATGCATCGAGATTTCATCTTGGATTTAGAACCTCAAGCCCTATCAAGCAAGCAAGGGATTCTGCGTCGGATTCGTTCAAGCCATTGCGAATAAACAATTGGTAGAACTCTGCAACTTTTTTTTTTAAGGAGTAGGGGTGTGAAGCTCTACGGATTTTTTGTCTTCTTCTCTTTTATCATTCAATTTCCCTATTTTTCTCAAGAACTCCAATCAATTCAGATCTGAAAATTGCTATAAATCTTAACCTCCTAGCCGTCCTACATCATTCCTACTGTCCTACAGGGATCTCAAAAAATAAGCAAGTTATAAGCCATACCTGAGTAGTTGGAAAAAACTTTTCATTCACTACAAGAACGTTGGGTCCATCAGACTTGATACTGTAACCATCCCTTTTAATGGCCAATGTAGCCAGTTCCCATATATCAAGATATCCTGTCTGCAATATAAAAGAGATAAAGTGCTCTAACTGTGGCATTGGCACATTAAATAAAATTAATAGCCCAAACATATTATGCTGATAAGCATTAGACAACAAAATGGAACCATTATCACACAATGGGAAGGTATATACAACCATACAAATGTAGAAGTCATACCAAGAATGAAACTTTATACGAAGCATGACCACTATAAAGAGTCTTCTCTATAAGGCCTTGCATCTCTGGATCTGTTAAAAGCAAAGGGGAAAAGCGAAAGAGAAAAAGTATATAACATCTAATGAATTTTCAAAATGTGATGCCAGAAAAATAGTAAACAAGTTAACAAGAGATTAGACAGAGATCCTAACCATTTTCAAATGATAAAAGGCACAGAAATTGTTCAAGCACAAAACGGCATAAACTGGTCAGTGGAAGAGACAGTCTAACCAAAAAGCAGATACTGTTGCTGTTTCTCCCTTATAAGAAAGAAAAAGGACAACAGCGCAGATACAGGTAGAGATCCACTCCATTAATTTTCTGTCATTAATTTCCAATACACCCATTATCACTATTCATATCTGTGGAATTCAATTATTAGTTACGGATTCCCCATATGAAAAATGGTGGTGATGGGTGCATTGGAAAGCATTGGACAAAAAAGTAATCGAGGGTAAGCCATATCCGTACAGATATTTTTATCAACCAATTGTCAATCTAACAAAAGGTTCTCTTATTTGTCATGTCTTTTAGCAGTATGGAAATAAGAGATTAGTCATGAATGGAAATAAGGTTCTCTTAGCAGTCTTTATGAGTCAAAGTATGGTACACAATACCAATAATTACACTATTACAATCAACTGGAGGTTAAGTTTTTCTCTGATTTCAAAAAACCTTATTTCCATACATGACAAAGAAAAGGTGTGCTGGAGAAACATGAAGTATCAATATCACTTACCACATGTGATCTTCTTGTGCTCATTGGCAAAGACCTTCACCAACTCTCCCTAAATTGACAAAGAAAACAAGTTATTCAATTTAGCAGTAACAACAAGCAGATGGTGTCTCTAGAGCAAAGCAAATGGTGCCTTGTACACATTTCACAACCATCGAGTGCAACATACCCCAAAAAAGAATGACTGCAAAATTTACGACAATCAACCACTGGATTCATCTTTATAGATGCCAATCACCCTTCAATTGGTTGGCACCTCTTGATGTCATATGAGCATGGGGAATTTTAAGCATTCAAACCAAGATAAATGGTGGGAGAAGAAGTCCTGTTTCTTCTTATTCTATCTACAATGAAGGAGTACATCTAAATAAATAGGCACAGTAAAGTTCCTTATTAGGAAACAACTTACATGAAACAAAAAACAAAAAATAATAAAATGAGGATTATTCTATTCTAAAATAGAAACAAATCCCTAAAAACTTGGCAATCAAAATAGTTGACTAAATCAGAAGAGTAAATGAGAAAATATTCCCAAAATAAATTAGAAAATCAAGCTGCACTAATGTAGGAGAATCAGATCCGCCCTAATGTAGGAGAATTAGATTTCTACACTCCCTTTCAAGCTGGGTTATGAATGTTAATCATGCTTAGCTTGGATTTCAATCCGTCAAAAAAGCTTCTAGAAATAGCTTTCATCAAAATATCTGCAATTTGTGAACTTGTAAGGATATAGGCCAGTTTAACCGACCCATTTTCTATCTTTTCCTTTATGAAATGTCGGTCCAGCTCTATGTGATTGGTCTTATCATGATAAATAGCATTTTTGGCAATACTTAAAGTAGCCTTATTGTCACAAAACAGTGTCATAAATGTCACAGTCTGAACTTTTAATTCTCCAAGTAACCTCATCAACCAAATTCCTTCACGAATACCATGGGACCTTGCTCTAAACTAAGCCTCAGCACTGCTCCTAGCTACAACAACTTGCTTTTTACTTCTCCAAGTGACCAAATTGCCCCAAACATAAGTGCAATATCCCGCAGTGGACCCTCTATCTGTTACCGATCCAACCCAATCAACATCTATCTACACCTCCACTGCCATGTCCATTGACTTCTTAAAATATAGACCTTCACCAAGACTCTTCTTTAAGTACTCTAGGATGCGATGAACAGCTTTGAAATGCTCCTTGGTTGGATTATTCATGTATCTACTCACCATCCCTACTGCAAACCCGATATCAAGTCGTGTGTGGGAAAGGTAAATAAGCTTCCCAACTAGTCTTTGGTATCACCCTTTGTCCATAAGAGAGCTTCCATTTTCCCTTCCAATTTTATTAGTTGAGTCCGTGGGTGTATTGGCAAGTTTGCATCCAATCATGCCAGTTTCTTTGAGTAGATCAAGTACATACTTACGTTGAGACATTGATATTCCATTCTTAGACCGAGCCACTTCCATCTCAAGGAAATATTTAAGGAACCCCAAGTCCTTTATTTAAAACTCCTTTGCAAGGAGTTTATTCAAATCATCTATTCCTTCATTGTGGTCTCCGGTGATTATGATATCATCTAAATAAACAATAAGAATAACTCTTCTTTCTTCATTAGTGAACTTAACAACATAGTATGGTCAAATTGACATTGAAGGAATCCATACCTCTTCATTGCCTTGGTCAACCATTCAAACCAAACCTAAGGAGACTGTTTAAGTCCATACAAAGATTTCCTGAGTTTGCACACTTTACTCATGTTGTCTTGCCTTTCGAAACCGGGGGGAATTTCCGTGTAGACATCTTCGTCCAAGTCACCATTTAAGAATGCATTTTTTATATCAAGTTGATGGAGAGGCCAATCCAAGTTGGCTGCTAGCGACAATAGAACTCTAATTGAATTGAATGGCTACCAGAGCAAATGTCTTCTTATAGTTTATCCCATAGGATTGAGTGAACCCCTTTGCAACAAGTCTAGCTTTGAACTTGTTTATACTTCCATCTACATTGTGCTTTATTGTGAAGATCCACTCAATTCCAACTGGGTTTTCCCTTTGGGCAAATCTGAAATTTCCCATGTCCTATTTTTCTCTAGTGCCTTGATTTCTTCAAGAACTACTGTCTTCCAATCTGATTCCTTGAGGGCTTCTTGAATATTTTTTGGAATTTGCACATTGTCAAAGTTAGTAGTAAAGGCTCGAAAGTTTGGATTTAACTTGTCATATGAGATGTACTTGTAGATAAGGTACTGGGTGCATGATCTCACACCCTTTCTTAATGCAATAGAAATGTCAAGGTCACCAACTGGCTCACAAGTCTCAGTTTCAGATTCAATAGGGACGTTACCTGCGTTAGTTTCAACTTCTTGAAGACTCAGATCAAGTTGATTTTTAGTGCTAGGCTGTCTACAGTTGTCCACTTCTTCCTATGGTTTTTGCTTCATTGAGTAGACTATCAATTCTTTTGTTTTTTCTTGCATAACCTTAGGGTTTGAAAAGTCAAGAGCTCTCTATATAGGTTGGGTTTTGGAATCTACATGACTGATAGGTTGGGTAGGTTGAGAATCTAGTTTTGAAGGGAATGGTTGGGAATTTGGTTTTGAATGTGTTGGTTGGGAAATTGGCAAGTCAACAGCTAAGAATTGATATTCCTAAGTAGTATTCTCCCCCCGAATATCATTCTTGCTGTAGTATGGAAAATTCTCAAAGAAGGTGACATCCACAGAGCTATAAAAAATTTTTATGATGGGTGAATAACACCTATAACCCTTTTGGTTTGGGGAATAACCAACGAAGGTGCATTTTAAGGCTCTGGGATCAAGCTTGCTACAGTTTTGTTGGCTAATATGAACAAAGTCAATGTAGCCAAAAAGTTTGATAGGAATGGAAGAGATCAACCGAGGTTGTGGGTAGGAAGCAAGGAGAGTTTGACAAGATGTTTAAAGCCAAGAACTCGAAAAGGCATTCGGTTAACTAAATAAGTTGCAGTGATGACAGCTTCTTCCCAAATATATTTAGGCACATTGGAAGTCAACAAGAGGGATCTTGTCACTTTTATCAAATGTTTGTTTTTGCGTTCAACAACCCATTTTGCCATGGAGTGTCAACACAAGAACTTTGATGGATAATGCCATGCTTGGTGAGGTTAAGGCCGAGAATAGAGTTGAAGTATTCCCTTCCATTGTCAGTTTTTAGGACTTGGATTTTGGCTTCGAATTGGCTTTGTACATGCTATTGAAATTTTGAAAGATTTGGCTAACCTCGGATTTTTCTTTCATAAGGAATACCCAAGTGAGTCGAGTATAATCATTGATGAATGTAACAAACCACCTAGAACCTGTAATATTGTTAACTCTTGACGGTTCCCAAATGTCACTGTGAATCATTGAAAAAAACTGAGATGATTTAGAGGAAAGGCAAGGGTAGGTATTTCGAGTGTGCTTGGAAAGTTGACAAATTTCACAGTAAAAATCTTTAGAGATGTTATTAAATAATGAAGGAAATAGCCTTTATAGGTATGAAATATTTGGATGTCCTAATCTATAATGCCATAACATGATATGGTCATCCTTACTAGTACTAGAGGCTAAGGCTGTACAAGAGTTTTGTAGTCTCTCAAGTGCATCATCTTGAAGAAAGTAGAGCCCTGCACGCATCCTAGCACTACCAATAATCCTTCCCGAGCCCAATTCCAGAAATTTACACAAGTTGAAAAAAAATTTAGTGACAACATCTATCCTTCATAGGCTTACTGATAGAAAATAGGTTATAGCTTAAATTGAGGACATAAAGAACAGAGTCGAGTATTATGTCTTTCAAAACTACAATAGAACCTATTCCTACCACCTTTGAGAGAGAGCCATCAACAATTTTTACAGTAGAACTACCATAGCAAGGTTTATATGTGTTGAATAAGGATGAATCTCCAGTCATGTGATCTAATGCTCTTGAATCAACAATCCAAGATTGTGTGTTTCCCCATTGAACACTTAAGGCGTTTAGAAAATTACCTTTTTGTGCTAGTAAACTAGTTCCAAAGGTTGCAGACTTGTTTTGAAGGGTTTGTTGGAGCATCTCCTCTTTGTAACTTTCCATATGCCATTTCTCTACAGAAGAAGAGTTCTCACTCTTGCTAGCCATAACGAAAACTTGTGTGGCTAAAGTCTAATGGTTCAGGCCGACTTGCTCTGATACCATGTAGGAAACTTAAATAACAATTGTCCTTATTTCTTCTTACTCTATCTACAATGGAGGAGTACATCCAAATAAATAGGAAGAGTGAAGTTCCTTATTAGGAAACAACTCACATGAAACAGAAAACAAAAAATAATAAAAGGAAGGAGGATTATTCTATTCTAAAATTGAAACAAATCCTTAAAAACTTGACAATCAGAATAGTTGACTAAATCAAAAGAGTAAATGAGAAATATTCCCAAAATAAATTAGGAAATCAAGCTACACTAATGTAGGAGAATCAGATTTCTACACAATGCATAAAAATTGCACATACAAGAATGGAAAGACTTCTTGTGAAATAGCAATAAAGTGATGATATAACCAAGTCTCAAATACATAGCATTCAATTGCCAATGTAATATGGTCCCTCTATCTCCATATAATGTTTCATGTTTGAAATGCACAAACTTAACAAAGTCTTGACTTTTGATTTTTTTTTTTTTTCATAGTACATATGATCTCAGGCTACAAAATAGGAAATAACCCTCTTGCATCCCATATCTCTACCTCCCCAAGAATCAAACCCAAGAGCTCCAAGTTGAAGTCTCAGGTTCTTAACTGTTAGCTATGTCCCCTTAGGGATAGAAATGTTGGCTTTGATGATTGTACACGTTAATTCCCCTACCAATATAAATGTTTTTGGCATCTGGTATTTTTCGTAACTTAAAGGATATAAAAAATTTTCAATATGAAGATTAATCTACTTTTAGGAGTAGGACCAACATATTGAGACATTCAAAGAGGAAAAGTTCGAAAAATATTTTGACTCAAGTATTAAGAATGATAGTTATTGTTGGATAGTGGTTAATCCTTGAGTCAATGAATAGC